TAAACCACATGCTACCTCCTTTGCAGACTGGGCCTGTGAAATGGACTCCATCTGCCATCTCGAAAGTATGGGAGAAGGACAAAACTGATGACTGCGCCCTTGCCTGGTTGGTGTGGAATTATTTCCAACACTCCCACAAATTCACCTCTTATCTCTGAACCTGCTGCCCTATTCTTCATTATCTTGCGTGGGGTTTCTTGCACTTGATTTAACTTGCCCCTGTAACCCCAACCCCATACACATACACTTTTCTTATTTCTTTTGTTCGTATTTTCCTAGATGCCTTCTAGGAGTTCTATTTGATTATCTGGTTTTGGCTATACTACTATTATATGTTTATTCGAAAGAGAAGCACCTTGTGACCTTGTATGCCAATGACCCCCTCCTTATGTATATTTTTTAGTGCCCTTCACAACCTGGGTATATGGAGTATCTAATAGGTTTTCACCTATAGATTTGTATGTACTTTCACTGTTCCCTTCACACCCAATGGGCTGGTTGGGCTTGATTGTTATTTGCCCCATGGACTGTTTCCATGCGTTTCTTCTGTTATGTTTTCTACATCAGTATTTACGATGTACTTCTGCCAATATGGTACTGATCATGTATATGTATCAGTGCCTTATGTCCTTTGTCTTTTTCTTATAACTTTGTTTGATAAAAATAAAATGAAATTAAACATAAAATAGCATATTGTACCTGGAGTTGGGGGGGGGGGAGGGTTTTGTACTGGGGGCTGAACCTAGAAATTAAAGCGGAACTCGAGCCAAAAGGGGAAGTTCTGCTTTAAGGCCTCCCCACCCTCCCCTTTTAACATTTGTCGATCTTTTTGGGAGGGGGGGTGGCTACCTAGTTTTGACAGGCGATCCGAGCGGAAGTTCTTCTTCCCCTCTCCCTCCCCACAGTCTTCTGGGACACGGCACAGGTCCCAGAAGACTGAAGCTGCAAACTGTCACAGCCGGGTGCCTACAGTTAAGATACTGGTGCCGGGGGACCTAAGACGGTCCCCAGCATCCCTTTGGGTGTGCACACCACGTGATCCACGGGCAGGTAGGTGTCTAAAATATTTGTAGCTGCTCACTTTTAATTTTTTTGCAAAAACAACTGGAGTTCCGCTTTAATGCAGCTTTGTAACCATTATTATATCACAAAATTAATTTTATTAGATGTAAGTAGTGTAATTGCTTAAATTTGACCTAGTTATTACCTCTTGCAGTCCCTGTACAGCAGGATTGGAGTGTGAGAGGATCAAGCAGCGCAAGGATCCAATCAAATAGTGTGCTGACAAGAAGCATGCTGATAGGAGGAGAAAGCAGTGTGACAGAGAGACAAGCTCATCGTTGTGCTACTACTCCTGTTCACTGTCACAGGCTTGATTGGGTCAGTGATGACCTGGGCTCAGAGGAAGTGGGTTGAATGATGCTGACCATCAGACTGAGGACAACAAGTGGCAGAAAAAAAGTTCTGCAAGAGAAATCTCTTGTTCGAAGCTGAATATGGTAGAAAAGCAGGTTTTATTATTACTTAGCTTTTCATTTCTTGCTGAAGTTCTGCTTTAAAGATTGTTTCCAGGTAACAAGTAAAAAATATTGTTAAACTGCTTTCTAGGAAATATTGAACATGAGATAATTCAAGAAGTGTACTCATGTTATGCTAATGTTTTATGCAGCCACAGGTTTCAGTACAATCCTACATGTGCTCCATGTAAGGTATGCAGTGTCTTGTCACATGATTCTGATTTGTAGAACTGTGATAAAAAGCTTCCCCTACAGTCTGCCAATTAGGAACACATGTGCTGCCAACTTGAAAGCAAGAGATAGGTGTCCCCATTCTTCCAGGAATGATTTATACACCCGGCTTTGATAGTGCAAACCTTTACTGTAGAATGCATCATAGCAAGATCTTCAGTGACTATGTAATGCGCAGGGAGATCCCATACGCACAACTTACTTGCAGCACAAATCCCAATATAAGTGAACCGTCTGCTCTGCCTGTCCTCAGATCAACCATTCCAAAACTGTCAAGCACACTACCTAAGGCTAGGTTCACACCCATGAAGTTTGCGTTTGATCCTTTCTGTAGTGCTTTCTGCGGTGCGTTTTTGCACATGCATTTTTGACGTGTTCTTGTCGCGTTTTTGATGCGTTTTTTCCAACTTGTTGCTGGGCAGAATAAAATGTAAAACAGATAAAAAATGCATAAAAAAACACACTACATGCTTTTCTGCAGCATTTCCATTGAAGTCTATAAAACCAAAAATGCAATGTTTTGCATTAAAGAAGTCCCTGATCCTTTACAAAAAATGCACCGGGTGAAAACACGGAGATGTGAACCTGTCCCATAGGAAATCATGTTAAATGGACTGCTGTGCATTTCTGCAAAACATAAAACTCAGTGGAAAACGCAGAGATGTGAATCTAGACTAATGTGGGCCATAGGTGAGATGAAAAACGACCGAAAATCGGCTGAAAAAAAAAAAATTGGCCAATTTTCGGATCGTTAGTGCGGTAATCGGTCGGCCGTTTTTTCATGATTCTTGACCTTTCAGATTATCGGTCCTGCTGGAAAATAATCGGCCAAATTTGTCGTTCTGCCGATTTTCGCGGCAATGATGCGACAAATGTGCCGATCTTTTTCCCATATTTAAAAATGTGCATGAACAGTGTCATGAAAGAAGAAGGAAAAGAGGAAAAGGAAAAAAATAGAATATAAAGAATGAAAAGAAGAAATAGAATATGAAGAAGAAGAAAAAAAAAGAATTTCAGTCCGATATTATATTTGAAATTTAAAAGTACATAGCAACATTGTATCTATTTGTATCCGAATAGAAACATCTGTATCCGAAATGGATACAAATAGATACAATGTTGGAACTTTTTCTTCTTCTGCATATTCTATTTCTTCTTTTTATTTGTATTCTATTTCTTCTTCTTCATATTCTATTTCTCTTCTTCTGCATATTCTATTTCTCCTTCCTCTTCATATTCTATTTCTTCTTTTTTTCATATTCTATTTCTTCTTCATATTCTATTTCTTCTTCTTCTGCATATTCTATTTCCTCTTTTTATGTATATTCTATTTCTTCTTCATATTCTATTTCTTCTTCTTCTGCATATATTCTATATAATTGCGGGCCGTAGACGGGATGAAAATCAGACGTCCTTTTTTTACCAATAGTGGTAATGTCGGCTGATTGAACAACCGATTTTTCATTTTTCAAAAAAAAAAAAAACGTCCGGTTTTCTCCCCGTCTATGGCCTGCATAACAGTTCCCACACACCTTCCAGCACATCAGATTTGCTGTTCTCTGTACAGCTCTCTATATAGGACAATCTAAAGCTGGCCATACATGGAGCAAATCCACGCCATGGGTGGCCCTGTTGGGACCATTTGACATCCTTCAGTCAAAAAAAATCCTAGCCAAGCAGCGCCTGCATCTATTCAGATGCAGCTGCTGTTTGAGTATTTTGACAGAAGAGGATGTCAGCTGTCAGAATACAATAGTTGCAGCAGACGATTTGCCCATTTGTGCTGTTTTGCATTGATGGAGGAATCTGTTAGGCCTTATGCACACAGGACATTTTAAAAGCGCTCCTCTTCTTGGCAGCAGCGCTTTGGCAGAAAAAAACACCTGACGCCTGTCAAAGTTTCTAACACCATTACAAGTGTTTAGGCGCATTTACAAATGTCAAGCGCTTGGGCGTTAATTCATTTCATTGGCCAGAATAATAATTTATTCTGGCCATCGAAAGGAATCAACGCTCAATCACTAAAAGTGCCTAGTGTTAACAAGCATTTAGGCGCGTTTAGCATTTTTTTTCTGCCAAAACGCTGCTGGTCCTGGGCGCACTGGCCCTGAGGGTTTTTTTCCTGCTGGTAAATACTACTGCTACAAAAAGCTTCTAATAGTCTATGTGTGCATGGACACATAGGATAACATGGAGGTCCGTCTGGAAGCAGTAAAAAAAAAAGCATGATGCCCCTATAAGTGGCTGCAAAAACGCCTCTGTGTGCATGAGGCCTTAGGATTCAAATCTGAACTCCAGGTATGGATTTTATTGCATAACTATATTGCTCCAGCTTGGACCAAAATAAACATGCATATTCCTGTGGGATCTCTGTGGAAGCTGGAAATCACTGTAGTGGTCTCAGCTGTCTTTTGTGCTGAGCAACTGCCGTGCTGCATAGTAACAACAAGGGGTCGCTAGCTTAGCACTGGTGCCATTCACCACCCCGCCTCCCCACCTTGTCCAATTAAAGAATGCCTTGTGTTCATTGAGGAAAATGAAGGCATTCTGTGAATGGCACCCTTGCTGAGTGATTGCTGATTTCTGAGGGAGTGGACAACTTGGTGTTCAGTGGGAGTAAAAAATATACATAGCATTTGTGGTAAGTAGGAGGAAGAATAGTGCCCCTCCATTGGGGTCAGTGGGAGGAATAGTGCCCCACCATTGGGGTCAGTGGGAGGAATAGTGGTCAGTCAGTGGAGGAATAGTGCCCCACCATTGGGGTCAGTGGGGAGGAATAATGTGCCCATCATTGGGGTCAGTAGGAGGAATAGTGGCCCATCATTGATGTCAGTGGAAGGAACTGTGCTCCATCACTGATGTCAGTGTAAAGAATAGTGCCCCGCATTTCTGAACATTTTGGTGTCAGCCTGGGGTCAGTAGGGGGAATAGTGCCCCATCATAGGCTTTTTGGTTTGTCAGGACACAGGGGCCCCATGATCCTCTATTGCCCGGGGGCCCCAAGAGTGCTGCCCATCATTGTGGTCAGTGATAGTGCCCTAACATTGGGGTCAGTGAAAGGCCCATATTGATGCTGCTCAACACTGATGTCAGTGAAAGGAATAGTGCCCACCATTGGTGTCAGTTAGTGAGTGCCAGATAGCAATAGTGCCCCATCATTGATTGCATAGTGCTTCAACAGTGTCAGGAAAGGAATAGTGCCCTACCATTGGTGTCATTGGAGGAATAGCGCCCCATCATTGATGTGGGCCCCATCATTGGTCAGTGGGAGGAATCGTGCCCTACCATTGGTGTCAGTTAGAGGAATAGTGCCCCATCGTTGATGTCAGTGAGAGGAATAGTTCCCCATCATTGATGTCAGTGGGTGGAATAGTGCCGATCATTGGGATCAGTGGGAGGAATAGTGGCCCATCTTTGGTGTCATTGGGTGGAATAGTATCCCATCATTGGTGCCAGTGAAAGGAATAGTGCTTCAACAATGGTGTCAGTGGAAGGAATAGTGGACCGTCACTGGTGTCAGTTAGTGATCCATCATTTTTGTCCGTGGGAGGAAAAGTCAGTGGGTGGAATAGTATCCCATCATTGGTGTCAGTGAAAGGAATAGTGCTTCAACAATGGTGTCAGTGGAAGGAATAGTGGACCGTCATTGGTGTCAGTGGGAGGAATAGTGATCCATCATTGATGTCTGTGGGAGGAATAGTGGCCCATTACTGATGTCATTGGAAGGAATAGTACCTCTTTATAGTGGGAGGAATAGTGCCTCAATGTTGGTGTCAGTGAATGAGTAGTGCCGTATCCTTGGCATCAGTGAGAGGACTAGTGCCACATCCTTGGTGTCAGAGAGAAGTATAATGCCTCATGTCAGTGGGAGGAACAGTACCCTAAGGGTCAGAAAAGGAAAGCAAAGGGCTGCATGCAGCCCATGGACCGCAGTTTGGAGACCACTGGTCCAACTAATACATAGGTATCCTATACACAACAGTTCATTATGAGTTGTTCAAGAGATTTTCAGAAAACTGGAATCAGATAGAGTACATTGAAGATGTTTAGCAAAAATGAGCGATCTGCATCACCAAAGGGTGTAAGGTTCACTTTAAACCTTTCAGTTTTATTCCAGTCACAATGAAGCGAGCACTGAGTTGGCACAAATCCACATAAAAGACAAATGCAAACACTGCAAAGCAAAAACACTGAAGGATAAAGAACTGGAAAATTATAGTGAACAGTTCCTTTCTCGATATTACTTTTCATATTATCATCTGACAAAATATTATTCACAAGTAAGAATTACAATATAATATAAACACAGTCACATGAGCCGGGAGATGGGAGACACACATTTCTGTACCAGTTTTATAAAATATCTGTCATTTATTTGTTATTGTAATCGATTGACTTACAGTCTTGAGGACTGTAAGAGGATTGACTTGAGGTACATCCAGCTTGTCAGATTTTTATCATACAATTATTGCCAGAGAATATAGCCACTAGCAGTAATTACTGTGTTCTCCTGGAAGGGATGGCTCCCCATATCCCCTGCACCCCCTGCGCCCCCTGCTGGGAGAACACAATAGCTCAGCAGGAGGGATTCCCCCATCAACACTGACTATGTTGATGGGGAAATCAAGCAATTATTTTTCCTGCAACCTGTTGTTGCAAGAAAGAAAATCGCATCATCTATGGCCTGCCATAGGCCCTAGTGTATCTAGCAAGTAAGTAAAAGTGTCTACCTCCTATATTATTATTATTATACAGTATTTATAAAGCACCAATAGTTCACTCAGCGCCGTACATTACAAAGGGGGACAGAACATGTGACAGAACAATACCAATACAATGCAAAACATGAGGGGATCGAGGGCCCTGCTCTTTCGAGCTTACAATCTAGGAGGGAGGGGATGGTGGCACAGGAGGAGATAGCTGTGGGGGATGGAGTGGTAGGAAGAGTGGAGGAGGTCGGCAAGTTAGCAGGGGGTGGGGTAAGCTTTCCCTGAAGAGATGGATTTTTAGGGTGCGCCTAAAGGAGAGGAGAGTAGGTGATAATCTGTTGGGTTGGGGCAGGGAGTTCCAGAGGATGGGTGACACCCTGGAGAAGTCCTGGAGACGTGCATGGGAGGAGGAGACCAGGGAACTAGAGAGAAGGAGGTCTTGTGAGGAGCGGAGTGTGTGCGTGCTGGGCGGTACTTGGATATTAGGTCAGTGATGTAGTTCGGGGCAGTATGGTGGACAGCTTTGTACGTCAGCGTTAGGATTTTGAATTTGATCCGTTGCGCAATCGGAAGCCAGTGGAGGGATTGGCAGAGGGGGGTAGAATAATGATGAATAAACACAGCCACTCATTAACAGGGAGTCGGATCACAGCAGAAAGAAAAAAATTTGGAGGAGGCTGAGAGCAATAGAAGGAAATTTTTTGAGTTAGGACTCATGCACACTGCTGCTCATGAACGTGAGTCCAAGAGCTTTTGGCTTTTTTTTTTTTGCCAAAGCCCCTGAACTCATTCTCAATAAAAGCCTACGTGTCCATGCACACAGACTTTTACCAGAGTTTGACAGCAGCAGCGTTTAGGGTCAATTAAATGTCCTGCAATTCTTCTGTGTTGAAGAGAGGAACGTTTTGGCCCAAAAAAAACCACCACTAAAACACAGCAAAAAGTGTGTAAACACATGTAAAAGCACCAAAACACTAGTACGCGGTAACCACATTTAGTGCTTGGGCGTTTATTCATTTCACTGATACAAGTACTCTGGCCAATTAAATGAATAAATGTCTAAGCGCTAAACATGCCTAAACGTGGCTAAAACGTGGTACCGCATTTACACGCATTTTTGCATGTGGGAGGGAGAGGAGTAAAGCCGGCTTTTAGTGGTTGCAGGAGGAAAATGGAGAGGATTGATTCCTGTACATACCACCCCTCCTGTCCAAGTGTGAAACAGAATGTAACAGGCAAGGGCGGACTGACAACTCATGTGGCCCCCGGGCAATAGGGGATCATGGGGCCCATGTCGTTGCCCAAACTCAGAAAAGCCTATGAAAAAGGTACCAGGGGCATCTCATGGTGCCTCCTACTGATCCCGGGCCCTCAGGCAGTGCCCAAGTTTCCAAATGGTTAGTCTGCCCCTGGTAACAGGGAGGCTGCACAGGCCCCCTGGAGCATGGGGCAGGGTCACCTTTACGACTCCTGAGGCTACACCATTGGTTGGGAGGTGGTAAAGAGATGTAATAAATATGTGGTTTTACTGCCCCCCAAACCACAAATGTAAACAAGCTTTTACTGTCCTGAGCCCACTATAAGGCTTCTTTCGCACTGATGTACTTTGGTTTACCCGCACACAACGGGTGCAGTGCAGTGCACCTGTGGCTTTCCTGCGGGTTAGCTGTGACTTCTTTTATAGCTAATGGGTCTAGTGCACTTTTTGAAAACACATCAAAACTCCTGCATTCAGACGTTTTGATGCACTTTCAGAAAGTGCTCCAAACCCGCAGGATATAATAGAAGTGCGCTTCCCTTGTTTGAGGCCACATTAGAGGGCTCTGAAGGCCACATGTGGTCCGCAGGCCACAGGCTGAGCACTCCTGCTTTTAGGCCTACTCATTAACAATAAACTGACAATATGTAAACATGTGTATAACATACGTTCATTCCATATGTTCCTGCTAGGTTTTTTATTTTCACTTTCTCTTCTAGGGTAACAACATTTCCTGAATGGCTCACTAATCAGGAGCAGCATTGTCACCCTAGGATGTGTGGTCCCTGTGAACTCCAAGCTGACATGACGATGCATGGCATGATCAGTGTTTCTCAACCTCTTTACCACAGAGGAAACCTTGAAATAAGCCCTTGGGAACCTCTGCTAAAAGTATCTCCATCAGGATCATTGGAAATAATGCCTCCTAGATTGATGGTGAGTGGGCAGAACGCCTCCTACATTGGTGGCCAGTAGGAAGAATGCCTCTTTCATTGGTGGTCAGTGGGAAGAATGCCTCTTTCATTGGTGGTCAGTGGGAAGAATGCCTCTTTTATTGGTGGTCAGTGGGAAGAACGCCTCTTTCATTGGTGGTCAGTGGGAAGAATGCCTCTTTCATTGGTGGTCAGTGGGAAGAACGCCTCCTACATTGGTGGTCAGTAGGAAGAATGCCTCTTTCATTGGTGGTCAGTGGGAAGAATGCCTCTTTCATTGGTGATCAGTGGGAGGAATGCCTCTTTCATTGCTTGCTGGTCAGTGGGAAGAATGCTCCTTACATTGGTGGTGAGTAGGAAGAATGCCCATTACATTGGTGGTCAGTGGGAAGAATGCTCTTTACATTGATGGTCGTTGGGAAGAATGAATCTTACATTGGTGGTCAGTGGGAATAATAACCCTCTTACAGTGGTTGTCAGAATACCACCCTTACAAAAAGCTAAAAAAGATTGCTAGTGTCATTCTGCTGCCTCTACTAAGTGGCGTTGGGCCAGGAATTATGCAGGCACCAACTCATGGGAGGTCAATTAGCCACAGCTTAGGGAACCTCTAGCCATCTCTGGAGGAACCCTGGAGTTCCACTGAAGCCTGGTTGAGAATGGCTTGCACAGAGTCTACAAAGAGCCAGGCATCGTGGGAGGTCATCAGATGGAGATGTGCACCCACTTGTACAGCGCAGAGGCCTGAGAAGTGTACGGTTGACAGCCACTGCATAGGACATCTAAATTTTAAAAAGTTAGTATTAAGAAACACTAAAGAAAATGACATTCTGAACACCTACCAGGGACATTGCCTAATAGACTAGGGGATGTTCATAGAAGGGTTTATTTACACTTTAATATAACATGCCCAAGAGGCCGCTTAAGTGTTATGTTTTTCCATTCCCAAAATCTGGAAGATTTCCATCCAGATATTTCCAGGAACAAATCTTGAAAACCTGAGACGCTATTGATGTTTTTTTTTCATGAGCTCCAAAAACAACGGTATATTTGGATCTTTGACACCAGAGTGACAAAAACTGCTATACTGCCACAACTTGCAAACCGCCCAAATCCATCCACTACCACTAATCTACAGTTATATTTCATAGACTTCTGCGCATTACTATCAATACTCCTCACCTGCTGGCATTTTTTGGCTCCAGGCACATTGCAAAAGTGTAGGTTTTGTGTTTTTCTGAAAGAGATCCAAAGGGGTTAAGATCAGTCGCTTCCAATGCAACTTTTGATGTTTGTAAAATGATTGCCGTTCTGGGGCACTCATCCATTTTTTTCCTCCAGAAAGCTTCAGTTTTAATGTCAATTTATTCCTAGGCCTTTCTATTAAAATCAGTAACTATGGAGACAATCTTTTTTGTGCTAATTCGTCAGAAAACTATTCATCCTGAAAGGTGCTAGATGAAAAACATGAAGTATGAGGGGCATTTTTATATTATTGATTTAAAGGGACACAGCAAGCAAAATGTGTCAGTTTATACTTAATCATGGCTTTTGCAACAGCACAACTGTCAGTGCAGCGTGAAAACTATTTGGAACCAAGTCTCAAATTTGCGCTTAAGTCATAAATGCTCACACATCAAGATGGCGATACCTTTATGATGATTTGTCACATTTCAATGGACTGCAAACAATAGGCAAACTCCATTAGAATAATGAAAGCCTGTAGCTCATAGCAGCCAGATTTGTTGAGCCTGATTTACTAAAATGTCAAGATATGTACAGGAAAGTGAATTTAGGTACACCTGTGTGCAATTCAAACATTCAATCATACAGGAAAAATGATGGGGAAAAAAAAAGTTTTTTTACTTTTCTATCTTTTACTTTTCTTTACATGATTGGATATTTAATATTATAAGTATTTATATAGTATCCACAATTTAGGCAGCATTTGACATACAGAATCCAGATCAGCGCTGCATGGCAACCAATTAGCTTCTATCTTTAGCTTTTTTAGTTAAACTTTGAAAATTAATGATAGAAGCTGACTGCTTGTCATGCACAGCTGGCGCAGTTTTGCCAAATTGTTGCCAAATTATCAATCTTTGTCCTCAAGGAGCTTACAATCTAATGTCTCTATCACACATATAGTACATCTTAGGGCCAATTTAGATACAAGACAATTATCCTACCAGCATGTTTTGGAGTTTGAACCAATTACCCCAGTGCTGCAAGGTAGAACTGACAACCAGTAAGGCTGGCCATTCATTATACAATTTTCTTGAGAATTTTGCTTTAGATTTACCAAAAACCATATAATATGAGGTCAAACCTAACAACACTTTCAATTGTATCCAAATAAGCAGGCCCTCGCACTACATAGTTGAAGGTAAATCTAAAGGAAATTGGACAGAAAATTGTATAGTGTATGGCCAGCTTTAGGCTGGCCATCCACTATACAATTTTCTGTCCAATTTCTGCCCAATTTCCTTTAGATTTACCATCAACTATGTAGTGCAAGGGCCTGCCTAATTGGATACAATTGAAAGTGTTGTTTATGTTTGACCTTATATTATATGGTTTTTGGTAAATCTAAAGCAAAATTCTCAAAATTGTATAATGTATGGCCAGCCTAAGCCTATGGTTTATGTCATCCTTTTGCAAGTTATGCTGGCCATACATTATACAATTTTCTTGAGAATTGTGCTTTAGATTTACCAAAAACCATATAATAGGAGGTCAAACCTAAACAACACTTTTAATTGTATCCAATTAGGCAGATCCTTGCACTACATAGTTGAAGGTAAATCTAAAGGAAATTGGGCAGAAATTGGACAGAAAACTGTAAGAAAATTGTATAGTGTATGGCCAGCCTTAGACCTCTTATTTCAGTTTAACAGGACAGGTGAGAAAATAAAAGGTGAAACCCCATCTGTTACCACAACCAAGTCTGTGGTCTCTTTGTCTTGAACATGACCATACGTGACCCACATTTTTCAAGCAATATAACTTATACCAATGTGATCTATACTGGAAATTGCAGTGATATTCCATGCATCTGTATGCTCTGTATGTTGAAACAGTTACAGTATATTCACTACAGATAAGGGGACAATTCTTCCACTGCCGATGACTTTACAGGGCAAAAAAAAAAAGATGGGTAGATATCTTATCCCACAGTTCTATCAAGACATGAAAAACAACCATTCCGAATCCTTCTCTCATTTTCAGAACCGGACTGTAGAAATGACAGGTGGAACCTAATTGGTTGCTCTGTGTAACAAGACATTTTTCTTGTAGCATAGTTTTCATACATCAGTCCCCCAAAAGAAGCAGTAAAGAATTCCTAGCATAATTCTGATGCCCCATTGATTTGCTTTTTTAGTCTTTCCAAAAGTAAAGTGTGCCAAACATATTTTTTTATTAACTGCTAAATATTACACCCTGTTTTTTTTTTTGCTTTTCTGTTAAATACCAATTATTTTTTATGCGAACTTAAAAAAAGGTTTATCTTTTGAAAGAAAGGCATTTGTTAGGCAATGTCCTGTACAGCAGCATCACAAGGCTTCCGTAACTACTGAGGTCATCTTTGGCAGGAATTGTTTTTGTTGGTTATAGCCCAGAATCGATTGCACTCTACATACATGACATGATTGCAAGACATGGGCTGCAGGTCATGGGGCTGCACATTCTTCTGACAGATAAGACACAACTGCGGAAATACTGCATATGCTCCTGTAGCCGACGGAAAGAATGGTGAAGCTCGTTGTTTGTTCTGATACGGGGTTCTACCATGTTCAATAGGCTTTGAAACTTTAAGAGCTGGATTTGAAGCTTCCCTTAGTAGTGGTTCCTGCAGCTGAGTAGCTACAAAGTGGCACAGTTCTTCCACAGTAAGACCAGCAAGTGTTCCATGTTTCAACTTAACATGCTGCAAAATGTCAGTCAACTCTGCCTTGCTGCACTGTGGAAATCTGGCTTGCAAATATACCACCGTTGACAGAGTGCTTGATGTGTTCCTGATGGCTGTCAATGTATCAATACACACTAATGTTCAGAGAACCTATACATGCTGAACTGCAGGTAGACTGCATCTATGAGCTTTGATATTGCTATGTTACTACAATGTAATCACTTGGCCTTAATTCCACTCTAATAATTAAATAATCCATACAGGCATATTAATGAAAATGACTGCTGATGTACATTTTTTTAAATATTACTAAACCCGGGACCCTGCATTCACTATATCTGGTCTCCCACAGTGCACAGAACAAGGAAATCCAATTATTTTAGTAAATACAAACTAATAAATACCTTTTCTCATCAGCAGTTAGAGCAGTCTTGTGACTTCTATCAGTGTCTGGCCAAGCACTGATTAAAGCTTGTAGGAGGAGTTTTCATTCTGCTCTGACTGTCCTATGAAGCTGCTGTACCCCTGACCTTCTGTCTGGACAGTGCTGATTGGCCCTGTGCTAATCACATGCACTCTTCCAAGAAAAAAACTCTCTAGAAATACACGCTAAACTGATCATGTGCAGAGTGACTCCTAGAGCTCTGTACTATCAGCAGATGGATTGCGGACAGTAGAAGAAGGGGAAAATAAGAGAAGTCAGGATCAAACAGCCTTTTTACACAATGTGGAGCATTAACCCCTTAGGTTCCACAGTGAGTATAATAAGCAAGTTTTACTGAATATACAGACTGATTAAGGTCTTTTGCTTTCTAAAAAACATTTCATATGTGTAGCCCTTTGGAGGAGCTGGGGCCACATATAAGGTTTCCAACATCACACTACAGAATCATAAGGTGAGCGGCGGGTAATGTCATGTCTCTGTAGGGAGTTCAGATGTGCGGAAAGGTCAGGTAAGGTGGCAAAAGTTCAGCCTTCTAAAGTAAAAAAATACAAAGCCCTCATTCCAGTTATGTGCAGAACACATTTATTTAATTATAGGTATCCAAACTGAGAAAAAACAAACTCAGATCAGAAACTGATCAGATCAGAAAAAACAAACTCAGAGCTCAGAAACATACTCTCCAACTTGACTTACTTCATAGGACACAATAGAGTTTGGTCTTTGGCTTCTCTCATAGTTTGGTCTTTGCTTTTCTCTTGAAAAGAGATAATTTAACTGTCAGGTGAGCAAACATTTTTCAATGAACATGTAAACTAAAGCTAGCTATACATGAAGGATATCCTTTAAATTCTTCCCTCCACATTAAACAGCATGGATGGAGGAACCTTCACCTGCCAGCAGGGGCAGACTGACCATTTGGAAACTCGGGCTCTGCCCGAGGGCCCGGGGTCAGTAGGGGGCCCCATGAGATGCCCCTGGTACCATTTCATAAGCTTTTTTGAGTTTGGGCAAAGACACAAGGGCCCCATGATCCCCTATTGCCCGGGGGCCCCATGAGTTGTCAGTCCGCCCCTGCCTGCCAGTTAGTGTATATAGATA